CTGAACTGCAATCACGATCCCCAAACCAAACATAGTTCTTACTCCACTGATGTGAGAGTCCCTTTCATATCATTGGTTTCAAAAAGTCACAGAAATAGGCTTTGGACAGATTCTGTTCATGCATTTTGAAAGCTACATGGGATCACAGACAATATCTAGTCCCCTCTAACAATTTCAATCGTGGTGCTCATTATATATTTTGTCTCTGGATTCATAAAGCCCAGATTCAAATCCTGACTCCATACCTTCAACTGTGTGGCCTTGGACAAGTTGCTTCAAATAGAAATAATAACAGCACCCACCTCACAGTTGTTGTGTAGAGGACTTAATTAATCTATGTCAAGTGGTTGAACAGTGCTTGTCACTGTTTCCACTATTATCTTGGAGGACAAGATCGTTCAGTGTGATTAGAATTATTTATACAAAATAAGTAAATAAGGTACAGTGATATTTCATTAACCATTATTAAGCTCCCTAGAACACAGTGTTATATGAAGTACAACTACGTTGATGAAAATGAACATAAGGATAATGATGTAGTGACATGATTTTGAGGTTGTTTACTATTTCTTCGGTACGCAGGACTCTCACTGTTGTGGCCTCTCCCGTTGCGGAGCACAGGCTCCGGACGCGCAGGCTCAGCGGCCATGGCTCACGGGCCCAGCCGCTCCGCGGCATGTGGGATCTTCCCAGACAGGGGCACGAACCCGCATCCGCTGCATCGGCAGGCGGACTCTCAACCACTGCGCCACCAGGGAAGCCCAATGTTTACTATTTCTTAAACATAAAGTATTTTACAAAGTCAAAGACGAGAGCAAAATTTTTTCACTACTTGGAGATCTGTAAATGCATCAGTTATTCTGCTGACAGTCTTCAAGCTTTTGAAGGCTTGTGTAAATAAAAGTGGATTATATTAGAATTAAATAATGTTATCGTTTTATTTTCTGACACTGCAAGTAATTTTAAGTTCATGCCTTTGCTTCATTATTTGCTCTCCTATATGTCTTCTTTTCTGATTTTTTTTCCAATTTGGGACAACACAGCGAATGTAGCTTTAACTATATTTGCAGCCCTTCCTCCACCAGCTCCAGATTCAAAAAGGGAATGTAGGCGGTGCACACACTGTTTTGAAATTACTCTTCATTTTTCATAGAACTCCAAATATGGACGTTCCTGGGTCTTTCACGCTATTGCTACTCAAGAAAAAACATAATGTTCAGTTTTCCTTAACGCCTTGCTTGAGCTTCTAAATTGTATCATGCAAAAATATCTAGGGTTTCTTGTTCCTTAGTAGGTGGAATTTGTTTTTCCCTCAAAACTAAAATCCTCCGTTTTATTAAAATTTGTACCAATTTTACCCTGCATGAAAAAGAAAATAAGCAATATGAATGTTCAAACTTAAAACAACCCCAGCTTCCCCCTTCTACCTTTTAAATCAATGGTGAGTTCATTTTTCAATCATACTGAACAAAATAACAATAATATTAAGTAGTAGTAGTCCTTATTGTAAATGTTCCTTATATATCAGTAGCCCATAAACGTATTTTGTTTAGCTGACACACTTTTTTAATGTGAGCTATCATTTAAAAATCTGGACATTTTATATGTAAGTTTGGATTTTTAGCTTCTCTTAAAAATCCAAAGTTCTGGCAATTCCATCCTCAGCGTGGCAAACAGCTATCTGGAGCTTAGCAGCTGCTCCTCTTAAACACTGGATGAACTCCCAATGCTAGTGAGTTTTGCACCCTGAAGTGTTTTTCCTAGGTTCCCCCAAGAACGAAGCACTGTGACAACTCCAACATTTTAAATACACACATACTCTTTTTTTTTTTTTTTTCCGGTACGCGGTCCTCTCACTGTTGTGGCCTCTCCCGTTGCGGAGCACAGGCTCCGGATGCGCAGGCTCAGCGGCCATGGCTCACGGGCCCAGCCGCTCTGCGGCATGTGGGATCCTCCCGGGCTGGGGCACGAACCCGCGTCCCCTGCATCGGCAGAAGGACCCCCAACCACTGCGCCACCAGGGAAGCCCCACACATACTCTTTGATCCAGCAATTCTACTCCTGAAAAAATAATGGCAGGGCATACAAGTATATATGGATACCCACTGTAGCATTGCTTCTGCTCCTAATAGCAAAAAACCTGAATCAACCTAAATATGAATAGGGACTGGCTGAATAAATGATAGTGAATTCATGCAAGAGAATACAAGAGAGCCCCCAAAACCACTAAGGTAAATCTACACATGTTGAAGTGAAAATATGTCCAAAGTATATTATTAAGTGGAAAAAAAGCAGGGTACAGAATGATATGTAATGTATGATCCAACCTGTGGGAAAATGAATAGATATATTAATATATTAATATATGCTTTTATATGCATTTCAAATTTTTGGAAGAAAATATAAGAAACATTTTTTAACCATGTATATATATTATGTATGTATGTATACATACATACCTTAAAATATATATTTTATATATACCTTGTGTATGTATATGGGTTTTTTTTTTTACACCTGAAAAAAAAAGGAAGCACCATGAACAGAGACATCTCACGTCATGTCATGTAAAATCATCATCACCACATCTTCATGTTATTGACCTGACGGCCTGTCCTGGTTGCAGAGTTCCCCTAGAGTTCAACTTGACTTCATTTCTTAGGCAAGGAGAAGAAAAAGCCTTCGGGGTGGGATGAATTGGGAGATTGGGATTGACATATATACACTAATATGTATAAAATAGATAGCTACTAAGAACCTGCTGTACAAAAAAATAAAATAAAATTCAAAAAAAAAATCTCTGGGGATGGGGTCCAGGAAACTTATTTTCAAAGTAATTCTTATATACGCTCAAGTTTGAGAATCACTGTTATAAAAAGCTCCCCCAAATGGGACCTGTAGCCATTTAAAGTAGAGGTAAAGCGTAAGACAGAGACATGATCCGTGCCGCTGAGAAGTTTACCAGTCAAACTGCGTACAGAACATTTCTACATCTGGAACTCACTCACTGTACACTACTCCATTAAATATGAACGTGAGGTGCTGTATATATACATGTTACACAACATTAAATGGCCTAGATGACAAAGTAGTGGTGTACTTGTATTCAAATCAAGAAGAGGTTTTTTCCAACATATTGAGGAAAACATAGGAGAAAAGACATTGCTTCTATGCTTATTTATTTCTTCTGTACCAGAATAATAGAGGATTGAATTTCAGCTAATAAGAAAAAAAAAAAAAGAAAAAGAAAAAGCCTTCTGGAAGGCCCTTCACACAGGTCCAAGAGCAGCACAGAAATGACACGGTGGCTGCTTTGGAAGCCATGCTTATTCAGAGCGCTTTGCAGCTCACGTTGCCTCCTCTACTGCCTTTTCAAAAGTAAAGACAAACAGGGCAGAGAGACAGGAGCTCCTCCAGAGACAGCTGCCAGGCTCAGGGCAAACACCCTTCAAGCCCCTTTCACATCTGGCCTGAGGCCCTGCGGAGACAGAGAAACGTGTGCTATATATATGTATATCACTTCCCTATTGCTGTCACAGCTTTGCACAGAGTGGAGAAAGAAAAGGAAGAAAAGAGAAGAACTAGTTCCATTCTCACCAGCAGAAACCCTAACTGGTCAGCCCAGTACAGCAGGGTAAGGATTAGCGCTTCCCATTAAAGGGAAAACAAGGTCATACAAGAATCCCTGTCCATATGCTCAGGAAGGGCAGCCAGGATGGCTATTTCTGGCCTGAGCAGCCTTTATGATGTCCTTTAAATGTTACCAGTGGAGGAGGGGATAGCAGGGGGGAAGCCAGGGGTAGCGCAGTGCATGGCCACTAATATGCTATGCCTCTGAGTTAAGCGCTGTGATGGATATCTAGCAGGAGTTGTCCCTACTAGCACTCCACACCCAAGAAAGGATGCTCATCAAAGCCACTGCGGGACTCTCCAGCCTACTCTTCCCCCAGGCCTCAAGAATCAGAGGCAACTGTCATTCCCCGCCTCTCAGCCCACCTCCAACCCCCCAAAGGCATCCCAAGTCACACCAGAATAAAAGGACCGGGACACACGACTCTTCTAAAGTTATCAGCTCCTGCTAACGCATGTTTTCGGGGGAAAAACAGTTAACAATTCCCCCGCAATAACCCTGCTCCCATACATACACACTCTGGTGCTTTTCTTCATAGCCTAAGCCTGAGATTTTAAATGTCTCTGTTCTTCTCAATTACTATATGATACAAAGGAAAACATAAAGTCATATCTAATATAGGCATCTACTCAGAACTAACAGATGAACACAGAAGTTAGAAAAGGTAGGTTGTATTACTTGGAAAATGATACACATAATATTATATTGTATTATGATAGTACTATAATAGTACGTTTGGAATAAAGGAGAAAATAAAATATCGTCCCTTTTGCTGTTTTCTCTTCATTTATGAAGTTGTCTCCTTTTCAGTATCCTGGTGTTGTCATATCAATGACTTTGATTAAAAGTCCATTAAGAGTGGTTTCAAGCCTTATCACAAAAATCACCTCAAATATGGCAGATACGCTGTTTGATCCATAAGCACAATTTAAGAAGATACAAACAGAAAAAAAAAAAACAATTCAGGCCCCATTAATTCAGAAGTAGTGATGATGCAAAGTACCTCTCAACCTTCAGTCTGAATCTTTAATGGTGGCTTGCTAAACAGTTGGAAAGATTAGAGATGGACTGGTTAAGCCATTAAGACCATAAAGTATTTTCATGATCTGAACAGCACTGCCTTGCTGTTTCCCTACTGCTGTAATTTGTGTCATTAAAGTAACAATTAGAAATCAGTCTTATCTGTGTATTAAACAGGTGTACCAAGACCAGCTAAAATTAGCAACTAGATGCTGCTGAAAGACCTGCCCTACATGTCACCCATCCCATCCTTCATTCTTTTCTCTATTCTAAGCTGGTCTTCTCCGTTATCGCTGTTTTTCACTGGACATTATCACCTGTGCACAGCAAGATCTCAAAAGGTGCTTACCTCTGAATCTTTGGCCTGTTGATTACGAACAACGATCAAATTGTAGAGGATCCTGTCATCGTCTGCCTCTGTGTGGGACACATCGTGAGGCACACTCCACAGATTCTTTTCATCATCCCTCGCCAGCGTGGCTCCAAAGGAAGAATATGGATTATCGCTATGGGATAAAAGAGGGGGTATAAGGGCTTTGTAATATATATTAAATATGATATATACATCATATGTAGCTAATATATAATATAAATAAAAATGTATATAATATAACATATATATATTCCTAACAAAAGAATCTGAATTGTCTTTAATAATTAAGTATAACACAATAGAACAACAAAGAAATCACTTTAAAAACAACAGAGGGACTTCCCTGGTGGCGTAGTGGTTAAGAATCTGCCTGCCAATGCAGGGGACACAGGTTCGAGCCCTGGTCCAGGAAGATCCCACATGCCGAGGAGCAACTAAGCCCGTGCGCCACAACTACTCAGCCTGCGCTCTAGAGCCTGCGTGCCACAACTCCTGAAGCCTACGCACCTAGAGCTCATGCTCTGCAACAAGAGAAGCCACCGCAGTGAGAAGCCCATGTACCGCAATGAAGAGTAGCCCCCGCTCGCCGCAACTAGAGAAAGCCCACGCACAGCAATGAAGACCCAAAGCAGCCAAAAATAAATAAATAAATAATAAAAACAACAGAGGACAGATACAACAGGATACCTGGGCAGAGGTAATTTTACTATGTTAAGCATGAAATTTAGCACAGAGTACCCCAGCAGCTAAGAAAAAAAAAAAGAAAAAAAGAAATCCAATGGGGAATAGAATTCTCATGATTAAAAGAAGAAAACAATTAACATGAAGAGATGAACTTTTTACTGGCTCTGAATTCAAGGAAATGCAGTTAATGTAGAGTGCAATGGTATGGAGTATCTGTCAAATTTCCTACAACAAGAAAACTAAGTAATAAATATGCACATCCAAATACTTTCAATAAACAATATGGGATGTTGCGTAAGGATTTCAGGAGCCCCATGTTGTATATTTGTCTCATGGTTTACCCTCTATGAGGCAGTATCCATGCTCGGGCTTATGAGGAGCTGAGTGGCAGAGCATCATCCCTGGGACATGCTTATACACAGACCTGGTAAACTTCCGTGGGACTGGTCAGGTAGGATCATGCAGGTGTTATCCCCATCATCTAATAATAAGCATGAGGCACTGACCCCATGTTAATCACAGGGCTCAATAAAATTGTGAGCAACACGGACATGGTCCCTATCCTTGGACCTCACTAGAGGGAAACACAGTAATGAATGATCACGTGACTATATAATTAAAAACTGTGATAAGTTCTATAAAGGAGGAGTTCAGGGAGCTGTGAGAGCTAGCGAGGGTAGCAACAGGTAGGCATTGTGGAAAAGGGGTGCTTGAGCTTTAAGCTGAAAGACAAGAACAGAGTTCCAAACAAAGGAAATGGCATGTTCAAAGGCCCTGGGGTGGGAGGAAGCAGGATGTATGCATGAGAAGAAGGGGGATGTTGGCTAGTTAGTGAAAAAGAAGCTGAGGAGGCCGTTGGGGTCAGATAGCCCTGGCTTTGTAGGCCGTGTTTTCTAACATTCTTCAGAAATGTGGTCTTTATTCCTAAGAACGAGGTAAGATGAGAAAGGGTTTTAAGCAGGACTGTGATGTGACATGAACAGTATTACATCTTGAAAGATCTTTCTGGCTAAAGTGTGGAGAATGCTACAGAGGGGTGAAGAGTGGACTTGGGGGATTCATTAAGATGCAGCTGAGGTAACTCGGGTGAGATAGGATCGGTATCAAGATCAGAATGACAGTGTGCAGCTGCAGAAAAGTGCATTATCTGGGAGCAGGAGAGGGTAGAAGCCCTCTGGCTTTTCACCTGTGTGGTGAGTGATGCCCTTGTCTGAGGCAGAGCTAGGATGCCCCACGGCCAAGGGGTGGCAACCACATCTGCAGGTGTGACATGAGTGAAGAGCAAATGAGGACAGACAGTGGACACCAGATAAGCAGACAGCACCTGGGAAGGGGGGATGAGAGTAACTGACAGCTGGACTGAAGGTAAATGTTAAGGTTTAAACAAACATGAAATACTCAGAAGTTGGCACTAAGGAGATCTTGCCATGGAAAGCAAAGTCCTGGTCACGAAATTGGGGCTCAGCACAGGAACCCTCCCATCAAGGGAAGGGCTCCTGCGCTTGAGTGATGGGGTACAAGTCAGGCTTGAGAGAGCGAACCACGGCCCACTTGTGAAAACTGGGGAAAAGAGGGGATGGGATCTTGGAACCAAGGCCGGCAGGAGGCCAGCTACCTAAATGGATGCTGAAAAGCGCTTTTTAAATCCCTCTAGCTGAGGTTCAGAAGTGGAGGGTCTGAGACTGGGCAGTGATCAGAGTTATGGAGAAAGAGTGACTTACAGGGAACCAGACACAGCTCAGCCACCGTGTTCTCAGAACTGCCGGGTTTTCCCTTAGCCGCCTGGCACCGCAAAGGCTGAAGTACAGAGAGACCTGCTCCTCTTAAGAATGATAAGCCAGTGAAAGAGGAGGTGAATGAGGCCTTGGTGCCCACATGGGCTTTAACGAGCATGTCAAACTCATTCATTCATTCATTCAGTTGTTTGTTTATTCAACAAGTGTATACTGGTGCCGGGCTGGGTGCTCTGCGGACTCGAAAATAAAGAGCACATTGTCCCTGCTGCTGGTGTGACTATAATGCAAGGAGGTAAGTATTTTTTTCTTTTTAAGTGCAAACAGGAAATTGTAGGAACAGGGAAGGAGTGACACATTATGTTTGATGAGAAGGAAGTTCGAGAAAGGTTTCGTGGAGGCGACGACATCTAACCCAGACCTTAGGAGTACACAGTCTTTCCTCAGGAAGAGAAGCATGGGGAAAGGTGTTCCTGGCAGAGGGAACACCACCAGCAGTGTATGGAGGCCTAAGGTGCCTGCAGGGCTGGGGAATTCCAAGTGTTCACGCAGGCCCAACCACACAGGCCCAGAGGGAGGGAAGAAAAGGTGATTTGGGGTCAGACTGAGGATCTGCTGGAGTTCAGCCTTTGTTCTGTGAATGGTGACCAGTTATCAAGGTGGTTTTGGGCCTTGTCGGGTCTGGGTTTTACAGAAACAACCCTGGACAGAGAAGGAACAGAGAGATAACTTAGGAGGCTGTCACAATCAACTGTCACAAGAGGGTAGGTGTGGCTTTCCTGCCATGTTCTTTGAGTTCCTAGTGTCAGGGGGCCTCAGGACCACTGCTGGGGAGGAGTGGGACAGGAGATGGGCAGGGCTGCCCGGGCAGAGAGAGAAGGAAGCCGCTCTGTTTAAACCTCATTTGTTGGAGTTACAAGGAAGATTTCTTTGGGGCATAGGAAAGGTGGAGTTCTATTGATAAATAAGTACAGGTTTAATTCTAAACGTTTCGAAATACTGGTTGGGGTGAGAGTGAAGGAGGGTGTGGGCTCGAGAACGAGAGGGGGGAATAGCTGTGAGAGGATGGGTTCCAGCAGCATCAGAGACTCTCAGACGTGGCCGCCCTGGTGACTGGTGACGTGCGGCACAGAGGTGGAAGGAGAGGAGTCAGTGCTGACCGTGTGAGGGCGATGCCTTTACCTGGGACGGCTCGGAGGAAGCCAAGGCCGACCTGCACGCCTGCAGGATGCGCAGACCGCGATCAGGATCTGGGCTTAGGAGTGAGGACAGGGCGGGAGATGGAGACTTGGGAGAAATGCTTGTGCATCTCCATCACTGCAGAAGCCAGGGGATCAGAGGAAGCGGCTGGGAACAAGCAGGGAGTGACGAAAGGAGCAGGGGTGGAAAGCAGACTGGAGAGACCAGGGGAGCCCAGAGAGAGAGAGAACACTGGGACAAAGAGGCATTCCCAAGAGCAGGCAGCACTGCAGTGTCAGAGCGTGAAGAGTATTAACTCCAACTTCTTTTTGCCTAAATAGATTTTGCGGCCAGTGATAAACCACATGGTGCTCTACCCAAGGGCCTCCACGCTCCATCCCTCCTGTTGTACAACCATCTGAGGTCAGAAGGATGGATAACGCTACCCCACTTTGCAGGCAGGGACAAGCCTAACGAGTTGTTTGACTTCTCCCGAGGCAGCCAGTGGACAGCCCCCACCCAGCACGAGGTCCTCGATGGGGCGTCTCCAAGCAGCCACAGCCATGAGACTGAATCCAAGTGCTGTGACAGGGATACACCCACAAACGCATGGGCTCGGCAAATTCCCCTGGGGCTTCTCCTCAAGGCATCCAGACCCCGGGGACACAGCTTTCACCAGGAGCTGCAGCCACTGGCTGCTGACACTACAGCACACATCCCTCCTGGGTCCTAAACCTCGAGTGCGTTCCCAAACCGGTATTTTATTTTTCCCTGAGTTTGTTTCATTTCTATGAGTCTTGTCTCTTCATCGAGTTGATACGTTCCTCTAGGGCAGGGATTGTACCCAGTATTTCTTTCACATCTCACATCACCTGGCGGGGGTGGGCACAGAGTAGCTGCTTTAAAAGTATTAAGTATCCAGTACTTAAATGGAACAAACTGAGCTGTGATCCCAACGTGCTAAAGGAAACCCCAGACATAGCTCAGTAAAACTTCCCTAGACCAGGAGGTTTAGACGTTGGCCGGTACCCACCCGAATAATCAGCCATAGACAACATTTGACCAAGAATAAGCTATCTTGGTCCCTATCTGCTTGATAACCCACAGTTTCTTTGCATGCTTTGAGAAGACAGCTGCCTCCCTGGTCAGTTGCTCCTACCCTCTCACAACCAACCAATCAATCAATCAATCAATCTCTCTGTCTTCTCTTTTTCTCTCTACTCCCCCCACCACCCCCATACACGTGTGTCTCCAGCCAATGTTAAACAGTAGCTTCTCATCCTTAACTTACAATTGCTGTAGGCAGGTCAGTGTCGGGCCTATGTGGATGTCTCCAGACAGGTAGTGCCTCCCCAGCTCCCCCTAATTAGGGGCAGTGCTCCCCTGAAGTCCCGTGAGCCTCAGACTCTGCCTAGTCACTAATCCGCCCACCCCCAGGGGACGATATAAAACAGGGAAGAGAACCAAGGGCTCTTGCCCCGGGTGAGCAATGACTCTCACCCAGGGTGATGCTCTCAAGCTTGGGGTCTAGGCTGCT